CTCCCCCTCCCCCTCCCCCGCGCTGACGAGTTTTTGTTGGGATACAAAAATACAAAACACGCACGTCTCCTTTTCAGCGCGTGTTGCTGGTTGTAAGACATGTCGGGGAAGGCTTGCAGGGTAGGGTGGGGAATGCCTTTCTTTGTGGGAAGACTTATATTTTTCGGATGGCGGTGGAAGGGCAGGCGGGAAGCGCGTGCGGTATGATTGTACGTTCCCTCCGAGGGCACCGATTCGGGACACGCGATACGAGTAATAGGTGTTTTTATATTTTTTTGTCCTTGGTATGCTACAAATTTCTTGAAAAAGGTTGATGACTTATTTCGACTCTATCCACCGATAAGAGTCTGGGATAAAGTAGCAGTGAATATTCATAGCGTTGTGTGATGACCAACCTGTGTTTTACAACGAACTGTTTCCTAGGCAGCATTCAGCCCTTCTTTCCCCTTGGGCAACAAGCCTCTCAACAAGCCAGTTTTCGAGGGGTGGCAATTGGGGTGGAAATATTATTTTCTACGTGTTGCATGGGTGTGGACATTCATCATATGATGAAACTCTCAGGGGGCTTGTTGTTGTGAATGTTAAACGAAAGATTCCTCGTGGAATACATGAATCAACACCATCGATCATGTCTGGACGACGCGTTGTTATTGTTATTGTTGTATGTAAACTACGGCAGGCAGTGTGAGATGTGTCAGACGGTCTTGTATGATGTGGTGCTCCTGTTCGACAACAACATATGATGCGATATATATAGCCACAGGAGGGTGTCGGGGTTTTTGGTTGTTCGTCTACATTTTGACAGATCCATCCATACTTGATGCTTCAGAACGCGAGCAGAACGAACCGTGTTTCGTCTGTCAGACCAGACAGACCCAGATGTCAAACGAAAAAAGGAATAGCAACAGCCAGAGTACAAGCCAAGCACTGCAATAAAGCAGCATGTTCACAAGTACATGGTGACGGCGTTTTAGCTTGTTGTGGTTGCGTGTATCGACAGCCCGATTCTCAAAGCAACCAGCCGACGTTCATGGTTTGTAAGTTCCATAGATGGGTGACACAAGATACCGCACCCCCATGACCGATTTTCAACGCTCGATTAGTCCACGGCGAGGAGCACGCGTGAATGAAAGAATGTGTTTTCGGAAAGCTCTCGACGAGGAAGGTTTCAACGCCGCGATTATCGGCGCTGCCTCTCTTTCTGCTGCTGTGGAGAATTCGAACTTGGAGAATCGGTCCCGAGGGTGTGATATCTTTGGTCACGGCATTTCACGGTGATGAGCGTTCTGCTGAAGGGACGCCTGTCCTTCACTGGAGAAATTCTCGTTGTCCGACGGTACCAAACAACACACGGAACGTGAACCGCAGTTATTGTGTGCCATCATACTCCTCACACTCGTGCTAGGAAATACAGATCCCGCGCTGGCGCCGACGCCATTTTTTCAAAGAATATTGTCTTGGAGGGAGGTAGGAAATAAAAAAAGAAAAATCAATAGTATGTCCATGAAGGGAGCTCGCCTTAGAGCTAGGTTGGTCCTTTTGTTCATGTTGCTGCTGGTGTTGCTGACGTCACTAATTGTAGGTGATATCCGAGCGTGTTGGCCAACACATTTACATGTACCATTCATCCCCTGTCCCCCCGCGGAAGAGAGAGCAAAGCAAGAGGAGCCCCCACCACAACAAGAAAAAACGAAAAAAACATGTGTATCCCCATCCCCTCGGTGAATGCATGTTAGATGTGGAACACCCCATTTTGTGCTAACGTGCTAACGGCCGACAGCAGTACTGAAGCCACCAGGAGAGAGAGAGAGAGGGACGGCCATACAGAACGAGAGAGATACGAGACTTCAACGGACGGGGAGTCCTATTGAGACTGCTGTCGTTCGCGTGGAGCAAACGTGCAGCTGTTGGCACGTTTATCGGTTAGGAAGTGTGGCAAATCCAACAACATCCCGTTTGCTTTTACAGCAGTTGACAGCAGCACCAGCACCAGCATCGGGAACCACGCCCTCAGAGCAAATAATCGCTGTGCCTGCCGCTGGAGACTGAAAGGACACCACCTCAGCAGTCCTCTGGTACTGTAGATATCAGGATGTCCTCACGGATGGAGGACCAGGAGCAGCATCGAAGAAAGGAGGCGGAACCGGGAACGCGCCAGTTGCAGCAGCAGCAGCAGCAGCAGCAGCAGCAGCAGCAGCATCCGGGCAAAGCTTCATCCTTGCCAGCATCCCAAGATGCCCAGCCGGTCATCATCGAGTGCCACAAGAAGAACTCCAAGCAGGAGTCGGTCATCACGCACCGGTTCCGCAAAGGCAGGCTGCTTGGAAAGGTGAGGGTGTGTGCATAACAGCACGGACAAAACATCATGCGATTCTTCCACCATCATCGGGAAAAAAAAAGCTCGAACAGCAGCTTTGAGGCGGGAAGCCGTTTGGTTCCGAGTCTGTGTGTGTGGGTTGCGGTCTTCGTCCATGGACGATCCTTGTCCTCCTGAGACTAGGCAGAGCAAGCACTCGGGGCAGGGCAGAGCGCCGCTAGGTGGATCCAATTGCCGTGACCTTGGAGTGTCATGTGCATCTCGTTGCTGCGATCTCTCACACTCATCCAACATCTCGATATTTGTAGTATAAATGTATTCCTCCTGTGGCTTGCTGTGATGCTGTTGCCCGGATCCGCCTCGGGAAAAGGGCGGGTTCGCGCACTGCTACAAGGTGACCTGCGTGGAGACTGCACGGCCGTACGCGATGAAGATCGTGCCCAAGAGCACGCTGGTGAAGAGCCGGGCGCGCCAAAAGGTGTGTGTGTGTGTGCATGTGTGTAGTCCAGGTGCTGTTAAGAAAATTCCCTCTCGGGCTGGTGAATGTAGTTAGGATGTTCATATATTAGTAGGAGTGTTGCCAGCAGCAACTTGTTTGTTTTTGCGGCGGCTGCTGCTGCTGTTGCCGACGCGGATCGGACCCTTAAGCCTGCGATACGAGAGAGTTATGCATGCACTACTTGCTGTGCATGTTGTCTCCTCGAGTGTAGAGTTCCTGCTGTATGGGCGCATCTCGTCCGAGCTGGTTCGAGCAGGCACCTCTCTAGGAACGGCTACAGCAGAGGGCAGTGGTAACCTGGAGCAGTAAACCCTGGCCGTTATCGAGAAGTGCTGTGTTACAGTGTACACCTGTAACCTTGCTGGGAGAACAGCAGTGGACGCAATTTCGATGGAAGATTCCCCCGTGGAGGCTAGAGTATCCGGGCACCAATGCCATATTTTGGTATTTTGCAGGTGCTGAGCCCGAAACTCGAAAGTGTTTCTTTTCGCGCCGTAAAAGTTGTTTCTCAAGGAGGAAGATATCCTAACGTCACCGCGAGGGCGTGAGGCGCTCCACATAGCGACAAGAGACTTTTCAGTCGGTCGTCCACTGATTTTTCAAGTAGGCTCTCTGTCAAATGAGCAATTATCGCTGAGTTAAGCTCCCAATTCAGCTTTGAGGTGTTCCAGTGCTGTCTGTCTCACTTGGGGCGGCTGGTGGGGTGGCGCTTTCCCCCAGCAAAGCGCTTCTGGGTGCATGACGGATCCTCCCTTCCCGTGTCAACTTGTCAATTCGCGGCCGTTCGTCGTCTATCGCACACACGAAATTGAGACCGACGTCTTGACATTGGTCAGCAGTCGGTTAGCGCCGTCGATGCTAGTGATAAACACACACGCTTGTGCGTAAACATCTGTCGTACGTGCAGCTCCAGACCGAGATCAAGATCCACCGCACGCTGCAGCACCCCCGCGTGGTTCGGTTTGAGATGTTCTTCGAGGACAGAGAGAACGTCTACATCCTGCTGGAGCTCTGCACCAACCACGTGAGTAGGCTCCAACCTCGTGTCGTCGGTAGAGTGGCTCAATCGGCGCGTGTGATACATGCGAACGTGTGTCTACGCGGCGTGTGCTATGCGTGAAGCACCCGTTGGCACGTCATGTAGTAAGCACAGAGACGCCCGTTGGCGGCACGTTGTTGGATACGCATCAATCTCCACCAAATGGAGCACTTTAGACATCCCCGTGCCATCTGCTAGGGTGCGAAAATTCATAAGGTGCTACACACATCATGATGCTTTCGTTGTAGTTGGAGCATACCATAGGTTGTTTGTTTCACAAGCTCGAAGCCGGGGCAATCGGGTAAGGGTGACCTCTGCCCTTGTGCTCCGTTCGGCCTCTCCCACCGCACCCCCCTTATCCCTGTTTCAGTTCTTCCGCGTATCCCCCTCCCCCTCGCGGTGATCGGTCCTCTAGGAACAATGCTCCGTGCTCTCAAAGACGCTGTCGATAGTCTAACCGCGAACATGCAAAACATTAGAGTACGCCCCCCCCCCCCCCCCCCCCCCCCCCCCCCCCCCCCCCCCCCCCCCCCCCCCCCCCCCCCCCCCCCCCCNCCCCCCCCCCCCCGCACGACTTACCGCGAGCAGTCCTTATCGGAGCTCATCCGAAAAACGAAGCGCTTCACGGAGGACGAGGCTCGGCGGTACATGCTGCAGATCCTGGAGGCTACGAGCTATTTGCACCAGCACCAGATCATTCACCGCGACCTTAAACTCGGCAACGTGTTCTTGGACCGCGACTGGAACATCAAGGTTGGTTGTTCCCTGGTCGCCTTTGTGGTCTTCTCTTTTTGAGTCGACCTGCTTGTTATTTCGAAAGATGTTGAATTTTTTGTGTGTGTGGTTGTGTTCGTTTGTGGCTTGATACTCTCGCAGTGATTATATTGCGCGCGTGGGAACACGGAGATTGATTTCGACGGAGATTCCTCTCACCTCTCACCCACTGGACTTATTCGTAAAACCTGAACGTCGGAGATCAGGTTGACTGGCGCTCGGTTCCATGCCGTAGGCCGGTGTGTCCGCTTCTTCTACTCAGCGTTACTGAAATTCGTTTTTTTTTAGGGTGTTGACTTGTTGTGGACGTCGCTTGTGGGGCGGGGGCAAGTTGCTCGGCCGAGAGACGGGAACGAACAAAAAAAACATGTTTCCGTGTATGCGTTTCCTTCGAAGACAGCAGCGAAGCGACGCGCGATAATTGCGTTCGGTTGGGTGAGGTATTTTGAAGATCAAGGAACAGCTGATGCTGCTGCGTGTTTGTTCAAGAGATGTGCAGGGTTTGCCAGTATGAAGACAACCGACAAAAAATGCAAGCTTTTGGTTGCTGAAAGCTTAGCGTAAACGCATGCGGTGGATTGGATTTGTCACAAACCTTCCCGCACGTGGATGGCCGCCTGCGTTACACGCGTAGTACATCGGTACCCTAAAATCGAGCCAATGTTTTTCTGTGAGTTGCATGTATTTTCGCTTCGCCGAGGACAAGAGATCTGCTGGAGTTGAACGACTTCCGAATATGACACAAGATAACACTCTCCCTGGACCAATCTGCTGGAGTTGAACGACTATCGCATATGACACAAGATAAGACACCCTCTGGATCAGTTTTCAGAGCTCGATGACGCCACGACGAAGAGGATGCATAAAAGAAACGATACATTTTCGGAAAGCTCCCGACGAGACAGCTTCAACGCCACCATTGTCGGCGCTGTGGCTCTCTCTTTCTGCTGTTGATATCGAAATTTGGAAATCGGTCCAGGGTGTGTGTTATCTTGTGTCATTTACGGTAAATACGTGTCGAGAAAGTGGTGTTTGTCTATAGTGGTCTAGACGACAAGACATCCGGGCGCGAGATGTCGACCCGATCGAGCATCTTTTCGTGGGAATAATAACGATCCAATCGTCCTTATCGTATGCCCTTCCGAGTCGTCGTTGTCCTGATTGATGCACACATGGGAGATCTAATCGTCGCCTTGTAACTAAACCGTATTTTCAGCCTCTTGCCCACCGAAAATTACAGGATCGTGCGGGTATTCGAATAGACAGGCCACTTTGTAACCCCTGCTTCATGGACCAACCCTATCGCGACCAATTCGCAGCTGCGCGACTCATCCGCTGCCTTATCGACCGAACCTTAACCCTAAGCCTATGGCTAAGCCTAACTCTGAACGGAATGATATTGATTCGCAGATGGGAGACTTCGGGCTGGCGACCAAGCTGGCCCAAGATAGTGAGCGAAAAAGAACAATCTGCGGAACCCCCAACTACATCGCACCCGAGATCCTAGAGGGAAAGGCGGGGCACAGCTATCAGGTGACTTTCGGCAAGGGGAGGGTGCACAGATGTTGGTGGTAGTTTTTGCTGTTGTCCGCACGTAAGAAATGTTCCGATCTCTGCTCAGAATCTTGCAACATACGCACCGGTCAAACTCAACGCCTTCCGTGGTGTTGGTAGGAAGGCTTGTTGCCAGCGACCGCAGTACGAGCAAGCGTGGTGGTTGTCTTTGCAGCTCTATTTTCTTTTGTGATTAGGCCGCAGGCTCTCGTCGTCGTGTACGCGACTAGCCTTCCTGATTTCAGTGCGTGGTGGCGCCTTGTTATTTTTATCTCAGCCGGGAAGCGTCTGTCGAACGAATACTTTTCTATCTCCGTCTTCAGTACAATCTTAATCTCGATCCAACCCACGCTTACGATGCGACCCACGTTTCACGAACGATATCATTTTGTCGAGGCACTCCCCGCGTCATAGCTGTGGTACCGTGCGTGCGTGTTGGTATCTCCTCAAAAGGTGGACCTGTGGTCAGCGGGGGTGATCCTGTACACCATGTTGGTGGGAAGGCCCCCCTACGAGTCTACCGACGTGAAGTCTACCTACCGCCGCATCCTGGCCAACGTTTACACCTTCCCGGACTCGGTTCCTGTCAGCGATAGCGCCAAGGACCTTGTGGGGAGGCTGCTCCAGGTGGGCTGTGATGTGTGTCATGTTCGTGTTAGGGTGCGCTTGCAGGCCTAGGTGGCACATGATGGGCATAGGAAAGCATGATTGCGTGCATGCATGCAACGAGGCGCGGAAACAGACAGACAGACACGTGAGGCAGACCGGCAGGCAGCCGGATACACAGACAGACAGACACACACGTGAGAAGCAGATAGCCAAATGAATGATGTTAAGGTTGGAACCGAGAGGTGAGGAGGCTGGTTGAACCGCGCCACGGCAGATGATAATCGAACCTTGGCTGGGCCGCAAATCTTTGCGGGATATCTTATCCTCGTTTCTTTGAAATACGATACCATCGTCGACTTCCTTATTCCATCGTAGCGCTGCTGTCTGCTGTTTTGATTCGTTTGCTCAAGAAACTCCGGTCCCCGGCTCGGCGTTACAAACCGCAGGTGAAGCCGGAGCTCCGCCCGTCCCTCGACGACATCCTCAACCACCCCTTCCTGCGGAACGGCGGGCCCCGGCAGCGGTTCTCGACCTCTCATGGGCTCCGAGGCTCGTCGGCATCCTCCTCCCCACCCTCCTCGGCCGTCACCAACGGTGGCGGCGGCGGTGGCTCGAGTTCTACCGCTAGTCGCTTGGGTTCGCAGAAGCACGGCGGCACCCCCGAGCGATGCGCCCCAAGCGGAGGGTTCGGGCGGCCACCGTTGAAGACGAGGAGTTCTAACGTAGAGACGGAGGCGGCGGAGGGAGGTGGCGGCGGTGTAACGGCGACGGCGGAGGGCGCCGCCCGTTTGGCAAAGGCGAGGCCTGGGACCCCGACGCCGACAGGTATGTATGTGGCTTGACTTTTTGGAGTGCGGTGTGCCGCCACTTGGTCTTGCCTTGGTTACAGGCCGGTTTTTGTGCCGAGCTGTCCTTCTCTGGTTTAGGCTCCCCAAGCCCTCTCCGCTGTTGAACCAGCGGGGCATCTGGGATGAAGGAGGGTTGCTTACTATGTCGTTTTTCCACTCCTAACGTAGACAACACGCGCTGTGGCCGTCTCGTCATCGTCCCTCTTTGTCCCACCCTTCCCTGTTTGCCATCCCGCTCACGGGTCCGTCCGTTCCTGGCCTTCCTCCCCTTCACAGGAAAAGCGGGAGGAGACAGAGGGAGGGACGTTACCGGTGGGCGGCACGCCTCCAAGCGAACTACTGCCTGTCCCACCTCATCGCGCTCCATCGTTCCTCGCACCCACAACACCAAGGGCTTCAGCGTATACTGCGACACCAAGGAAGCAGCTGGGAGTCGAGGGAGAGGGGCGGGCGCCAGCGATGGCGGGGCGCAGAGCAGTAGCAGCAGGCGGGTCGCTTCTACGACTGGCGGCGGCGGCAGAAGGAGTGCCGCCGCGAGCGCGGGCGGCGCCGAGGCGGCCGTGAAGTCTCCCGGCGGGGACAAGGAAAACGACCCCCGCTCGGCAATCGGCGGCGGTGGGACCGGCGGGGTGCGGGTGCCCGTCAACGGACCCATCTCTCGCCGGCCTGTCGTGCGGTCGGCCTCTTCGGTGGGCTCTTCCGGCCGCGCGAGCGGCCGGGATAGGGCCGAGGGGAACAGCACCGGCGGCGGCGGTGTGAAGGGGCTCGCCGCCGGCGGCAACCGAAAGGCGAGCATCCGCCGATCCGCCAGCGCGGTCGAAATGCAGGCGGACCACCGACGCGTCGCGTCGGCTAGGGAAGCGGGGGGGGAGTACGGCTCCAGAGGGAAGAAGGCGGCAGCGGGCGCTGCAGCAGCAGGGGCGGTCACTCCGCGCGTTCGCCCTTCTGCCGCCCCCAGGGGTACGGCGGTCGGCTCCCCGCCGACACCATCCCCGTACAGATCATCTCCGTTGCCTGGCCCGGCTTCCGGCGGGGGCGGCAGCAGGATGAGCACCAGGATGGTCGCGGTCGGGGGCGGGACGACTCCCCGGAGCCAGGCGAAGAGCAGGGGGGATGCGCGGCAGCGGTTGGACTTCGGGAACACGCCAAGATCAACGAGGCAGCGCAATTCTCCTGCTGCTGCGGCGGCGGGACCGTCTAGCGGAGGAAGAGGCCGGTCGACCAGACCGGTGAAAACCGGCGGCGCGGCTGCTGCTGCTGCTGCTGCCGCCACCGCTAGCGCTGCTGCTGCTGCTGCTGCTGCCGCCGCTAGCGCTGCTGACTCCCGCGGAGTTATGTCGCGCCCGTCAAGAGCGAGGGATAGTGTTTTTGCGGGCTCTGCGTCACGACGGGAAGCGGAGGCGGCGAGCTCGGGAGCGGGAGACGCTTGGCCCGCTGTCGACCTGGATAGGGATACCCTGGAGAACATGCACGAGTTGCTAGTGAAAAGCTTTGCGGCGGGTCCCGCCGCTGGCGCCGCCGGTGGCAGCGCGCCGAGCCGGTCCGGAGCGGCCCGCGGGACGAGGGCATCGGCAGCCGCAGCGGCGGCAAGAGAAGCGGCGATCGCGGCGGCGGCGGCGCCGCCGCCGCCGGCCCCAACGGTGTGGGTCACGCGGTACGTGGACTACTCGACCAAGTACGGCCTCGGCTTCCTGCTGTCGGACGGAAGCGCCGGCGTTTACTTCAACGACGCCACCAAGATCGTCCTGGAGCCGGCCGGTGTCGCGTTCGAGTACATCGAGCGAACGCGCAGGTCGACGTCTTCTTCGCCGGCTTCCGGCGGCACCGGGGATCAGCCGCCGCGCGCGAGGCACACGTTGGAGGACTTCCCTCCGGAGCTCCAGAAGAAGGTGACCCTCCTGAACCACTTCAGGGGATACCTCCACGAGCTGGTCAAGAAGGGTAAGGACGGCGGCGCCGGTGGCTCTTCTGGTGAGGGGAACGAAGAGGAGGCGGTTTCAGCCCAAGGGGAAGGGGCAGAGCCGCTGACCTTCCTGAGGAAGTGGCTGCGAACACGCAACGCGATCCTATTTCGGCTGAGCAATCGCACCGTGCAGGTACGGGAAGTGCGCGTTGGCATTTTCTGCGCAGCATTTTTACGGCGCAGTTTGGTTGGCTATCTTGATCTCTTTTTTTGCACGAACACCATGGCGCTTGAAGAAACGCGCCCGGTGGGTGCGACTGCAGGTGGTTGGGTTGGCTACTTTTGACGTTCTGTCGGCCGTGCTGTTATCTGGTTGCCGACATGTGCGTATTGTTTAGCGCTCCGCCGTCCGCCGTCAGGATAGTAGCCCAACGTAAGACGGCGGCGGCAACCGCGCTCGACAAAAAAAATTTGGTGTGGTTGATTGATTTGAGAGCTCGTTACAAAAAGTATTTTGTCGTATGTACGTCTGTCCGTCCGCGGATGGATGGAATTGACGCGTTCTCGTCACGGACGCCACTTTCTGTGGATGGGTGGATGGATGATGGATGCTGTTCCAGGTGGTGTTTGCGGACCACACCGAGATCTTGCTCTCGAACGAGGCACGCGTGGTGACGTTTGTCGACAAGCACGGCAGCCGCGAGACTCACTCCCTTCAGGGGGTGCTCCAGGATCAGAGGTGTGTGTGTGTGTGTGTGTGTGTGTGTGTGTGTGTGATTTTACAAGGCGCTTTTACTTTTGCGGCGAAAACACTGCGTGCATGCGGCGACCCTTTTACTCGAATAAGACGACGGAGCCCTACGCTTCCTTCCGCCGAAAAAGAACGGCCGCTATTTGGACAACGGCAAACAAGCAGTGTTGTGTGGATGTTTGAACCGATGAAAGCTTGTTCTGGCAATAGTAACGCTCTCGTCGGGATTGGACCCAGGCAGGAATATTGATCACTCTCCAATGCGCATTTC